GAAGGGTGAACCAGCGGGTGGGCAGGTGGGAAGGCAGGCAGGGAAATAACCCCTCTGATATTGCTTTGATTTCTGTTTCAAGTTCTATAATGACAGATCTCACTCCAGTGCAGTATGTTTTGGAAATATAGTTAAAAGGGCTATGTCATTGTTTTTAGGTACACTTTAAGTGTTGACCAATGAAAGGCAAATATCTGAATGGAAAAACAGTTTAATATAGCATTTTTAAAACCTTTTAGTATTCTAAGGATCTGTGACCTGCTAAAATCTAATTGTTTTTCCAATACCCTTTGGAATTGTTCAGAAAGATGTGGAATGGTTTCTAACTGGTGCATTAAGCATCTGGCCTGACTTCACAGAACAGATAGCTGAATGTGCACTCTCTGTATATTTTATTAACATCCCATAGGCTCATGCTAAGATGCTGTACTGATGTGCCCTGACATGCATCACTACCTGTTGACGGAAAAAACTGGGCTAAACTTGAGAGGGTCTACAAATAGAAAATCTTTTAAAGATGTTTTGGCAATTTTAACAGAAACTCTAGCTTAAGAAAAAAAAAATAAAGAAGAAAAAAAAGAACAGCTTCAAGTTTATATGCCCAAGTTTCAGTGTGCCAGAATCTCCTGATAATACTCTCCAGCATGTGCTCCTTCCTTCTCAAACTACAGCACCCCATTTCCCTTTGGGTCATGCCCTCTCCTCCATTCTCAGCCATGTGTTTGAGTAAGGTTGACCTTATCTACAGCTCCTACGGTGGGCTTAAGCTCACCAGCATATCTCCCCATCCCCATACAATAGGTTCAGGAATGAACATGTGATCAAGTTTAAACAAATGAAGAAGAGTGAACCCCAGGGTTCTGTGCAGGAGATTTTGGAGACTTCTTTCCCTTGAACATTGTGTTATGGGAATGTAATATGTGGAACTGTTACTGCCTAAGAGGAAATCCAGGAGCTGCCACGGGTCCGTTGCATAATATATAGCCTGAGGAGGTTGCCAACACTGAAAAGGGCAGAATAAGACAGCCAGAGAGAACCTATATTCTCGATGATATATTTCAAGCCACTGTATGAAACTTTATCTGAAGCCATACCATGCATTTGAACTTCTCAATTACTTGAGCCAATGGATTCCAATTGTTGAGTAGGCAGTTAAGTCTTGGACCTTCAATCACTTGCAACCAAAAGATTCTCAACGAATAATAGTCCAAGGCATATAATATACCAAAAGTATGAGCTGTTTTGTTTTGTTTTGTTTTTTCCCACACAGTTTTGAAGACTTTATTCTCACAAAGAATGCTAAGGAAAAAGAAAATCATTAAGAATGTTTCTAAGATTTAAAAGAACCTTAATTCATTCTAAGATTAAATCTTAGAACATCATAGTTGGAGGTGGTTTGGGGACCAACTAGTCCTATTGGTTTCTTTTACAGGGTTAGTCAATGAACATGTATACAATGAATGAATGAATGAATGAGGGAGCTTAAGTCTAGACAGGTTGGAAGACCTGGATTAAATGGTTCCAAGAAATAATTATGCATTTTAGTCCCTTTTAGCTGGGAGTTGGTTACTAACGGAGATTTGGAGGGTTTTTTCTTGTTGTCATGTTGTTTTTTTATTTTTTTCCCTGGATATACATGTAAACGGCAGAGCCTGGGAAACCTGATTCCAAATCCAATGTCCTCTGTTCTTTACTAGGGAACATCTCACATCATCTCACAAAAACACAAAGTTCTTTGAGATGACAAATTTAGACACTCTTAGAGTTTTAAAACTAGGATATATTATTGAAGTTCATTTCCAAAACAGTTGTTTTCAGTCTGAAATACATTTTCTCATGTACAATGTTAGACTCACAGGCTAGCCTGCAAAACAAAACAAAACACAAAATAACAACAAATATCTTTTCAAACCAAAATGTCTACTAGAACTCAACTAAGTTTTTAAGTACTGGAAATACGAGGTGATGAGATGCATAAGGACAACAGAAAAATAAATAAATAAAATCTCCAATTCCCCCTTACTTACCACCATTTCCTGGCTATAAAACTACTTCAGGCCGGGTGCAGTAGCTCACGCCTGTATTCCTAGCACTCTGGGAGGCCAAGGCAGAGGATCACTTGAGGTCAGGAGTTTGAGACTAGCACAAGCAAGAGCAAGACCCCATCTCTACTAAAAATAGAAAAAATTAGCTGGGCTTGGTGGTGTGCACCAACAGTCCCAGCTACTTGGGAGGCTGAGGCAGGAGGATCGCTCGAGCCCAGGGATTTGAGGTTGCTGTGAGCTAGGCTAACACCAAGGCACTCTAGCTCGGGTGACAGAGCAAGACTCTGTATCCAAAAAAAAAAAGAAAGAAAATAAAAAAACTACTTCAAAGGGAAATTTGAAAGTTATGAAAAATGTGTCATTGGCCTCTCTTATCTCCCTTTGTACGCTCTTCTCCAACTTCTTAATCTCTCTTTTTTCCAGGTGTTTGTATGCCCTCATCTTAATAATGGCAGCTACCATTTTATCGGGCAGTTACTATGAGTCAGAGGACACTGAGCTAATAAACTCAAAGACACTAAGTAATTTATGGCAAAGCCAATATGGAGCCCAGGTATGCTAAACTCTGAAGCCCATGTTCTTGAACATTAGACTACACTGGTTCCTCCACACTGAGCTGAGATCTTCCTGCTGTGAGAATCCAATTCCTCCCTTCTTATCACAGCCTGAATGGCTTCATGCTGGACATTGCCAGCCTCCCATCCCCTTCAACCAGAACAGTCATCCCTTATTGTAACTAACAGCCCTTAGGAAACAAAGGAGGAAAGCAATCTGAAGTAACTCATGGTAACTCCTAATGTTTCCAGAGATGGTACATACTATTTCAAAATGGGAATACATTATTATAAGTTCTCCTCCAATTAGCAGCATTTCAGGCAATTGAAAAGAGCAAAAAGCAGAAAAATATGGAGGCAGCAAGAGAGTATGTATTTTTGGACAGTGTAGGATGACAGGAATTCTATCAAGAGTTTACCTCCAAAGTCAGCACCTCTAGTATAGATTACATTTTTCACAATTTTTTTTTCCTTTTTCTACATTTTAATACACAATTTAAAAGGTGAAAAAAGCAATAATACACAATTGGCATTCAATAAATTCTAGCTGTATTTATTTGCCATGTGATGAAACCAAAGCACAGAGGAGTAATATAAAGTCATATAACAAGTGGCAGCCTGGGAAGGGTAACCTCAGAACTTCCAAATCCCAAGCCAGTATGTTTTCTTTTCGATACCAATACCTAAAACCCAAGTATCCCATTTATCTTTCTTTTCTGTTTAAGACCTGCCTGAATGAAAACAAAACTGACTAACTATGGAAATAAGCCCACAGGAATTTGTCCAGGCAAAAATTTCCTTTGCAAATAGAACCAATTCCCATCTGAAAATGGCTTCTAGAAATAATTATTTCATAAAATAATTTAATCCATGTGTTTGTTTTACAGCAACAGAAAAGAATCTACCCTTTCTTAAGAGATTATATGTTGCCCCCACCTGCTTTTCCTCCAAAAATTCAGCAGCTGCATCTCAGTTTAACTTGTACTACCTAACAGTTCTAAGAAATTGGCTTGTCAATAATTGACATTAGATTCTAAGACTCCCAGATTCAGTGGATCTGTCCTCTGAGGCCCCCAAAAGTACAATCATAGAACAATAGGGGTCAGTACATTTCTTATCAAGCATTCACCTCTACTTTGATATCACCCATTCTTGGAGAGGACCTCAGAAACTCAAACTGCTATCAATCAAGCATATAAATAGATAAACTGAATGAATCCAATGAAGAAACCACAATCAAATACTCCTCGGAACGACAATTAGCTGGCCTCCTTCGGAAACATTCAGGGAAACCTTAAAAAAAGACATAGGAAAAAGTCATGTATCTCTAAGAATAAAGCAAATAAAGATATTAATTTAAGGAAATTGCCCTCCAGGTAAATACAAACACAAAATTCTTCCTAGCAACATTAGAAAGTGAAATATATTTACTTAGTGGAAAACTTATGGGCCCAAAGCAATTGTTTAACCAAATAGCAGAAACCAGTCTATGAAAACCATAACTTGAAAATAAAAGTCTATAATTCTGTTAAGTAGGCATAGAAATTTATAATCTCTGTTTTACAATTATCCAGTATTTATTTATGTACCTAACTTAAAATAATTTTAATCCAGGCAAAAATCACCCTGAAAGATTTTTTATAAGACATTTATATCTAAACCCATGCTCAGAGCAGCAAAAACATATAGAAAGAAAAACATTTTACGCAATTCTTTTTAAATGTTTTATTGAGGGTGTCCTTAAATATAAACAATCTAAAATCTACTAAGTTCTAAAGAAGATGGACAAATAATGGAAGCATATGAAACACACTTTCATTTTCTAAAACATATATAGAACAATAACTTACTCTTTTCCTCCAAAAGAACTGTTCACTTCAATTTTTTTTTAATCATTTGGCATTCTTGTTTCCTTTCCCCTAAATGAATCAGTGACGTATTTATTTATACCTGCTTTCTATTCATGTGTTGCATAAATATTCACAATTGGGGTTACTGGGCTACATCTTCCATAATTGTAACACTATTTTTTAACCAGTCAATAATAAAAATAATTCTATTTTGGTTAACTTCTTTTCAACACAGATGGCTTAGAAATAAAAAGAAACATGTGTTTTTCTATTGTGATCTTAAAAATATCCTTCTAACATGCTTGCATTTTTTTGTAAGTGTGCTTACCACTACCTTGTTGTAGTAAACTTTAGAAAATGTTGAGATTCCAAAGAGCTGCCTACAAACCAAATGGCATCCTAGCTTTGGCAGGCTGAACGCCTCATTTCGGCTTCTCTCACCCCCTCTAGCGTTTGCAAAGCTCATGTCTGATTATCCAGTTACCTCACTGAACGAGAGCTTGCCTAAGTCCTGCCCATCTATGACATCACCCCCTTCTTCAACCACTGCGAGGTGAAGCTTTAAACTTCAGACTTGGAGGTGGGCTGTGTGCAGTAAACTGGAATGCTCTCCCTCGCGCACTCCTCAGTGTAGGAGTGATCTGAAGCAGGACAAGCTCAGCCTGCAGCTGCCGTTGGCTTTGTGTAGACTGGACGCAAAGCCTGGGAAAGGGGGGAGGGTTATTGCTTCAATTCACAGTCAATGGAATTACAGCTATAGCGGCAGTGTATATACGATTGCTTTTCTCATCTTCCTGGTAAGTGTTTTCCATATTTTTTCTTATGATTGTCCCAGAAAGTTTGCTTGGTTTTACTCTCTAGAAAGAAATGACTTGGTACTATGAGGAATCCAAATACGGACGTTTGTTCTGTCACCAGTACAAGCAATATATGTGCGTGCAAGCTAGCAAAGAAAAATTTGACTATATAGCCAAATGCGAGAAGTTTCCTAAAACCTTCTTTCATTTTTTAAAAATAATAAGTGGATATTTTCTGTCTTAAGTAATTGCTATTTGAAAAGAGCCTTATGGAGAATAGCAAGTTGGAAAGTTAAACATTAAAGAATACAAGGCAGATTCTTCACAGATGGAAAAGCCGAAGGTCTTGCTTAACTTGGTGTGTACTGTATGTGTGGTATGATCACCAATTGCTGTTTTTACAACTGTGAAGGAAAATCAATAATCCCTCAGCCCATGAGTACGCAGTACATGAAAAGCATACATCTTGCTCACAGCTAGCCAAGCTACTCCTGGAGACTTATGTGCCTCTGTAAAGGATTAACAGCTACACCTAGATTTTAAAGCTTGCACTGATATCCTGCCTGAGCTGCTTCAAGCATTTCAGGCTTGCAAATCTCAACTAGTAAATTCAACTAAGAGGGGAGGGAGACTCTTTTCCAAACCATATTCCCTCTTCAGTAGAAAGCCAAAAATCCTTTGCTTAGGCAAGTGTAGTATGTGACTAGCATAGTAAATGGCTAAGTCTACTCAGAAAAACTAACAAAGCTCATCCTGGAAGCTATGCCTGATGTATGCAGCGAGTTTGGGGTGGCAGAGGAAAAAAATAAATGAGTAGAGCCCTCATCAAGTGGGATATTCAGAGTATCCATTCTTTGCAACTTACAACAGGAAAATCTTACATTGGAAAAAATGTATTTATACTACAAAGCTTGAAAAGTAGATAAATCTTCTCAAAAAATTTTTTTTCATTGAATTAGGTCTGAAATAAAATGGTTGCATAGAGGTAAAGAGTGCAACAGGCCCTTATTTTCTCACCATCTGAGGGTTAGTTTCTATTTATTTATTTTGAATCTCAAATGTTAAATTATCATAATAAAGCACTTTATTAAATGGAGTTCTTTAATAAAGAAAATATAATGAATTCTACATGTTTCAAAAACGCCAAACATTTGAAAGAAAGAGTTTGGCAGCCGAATTTATAGTTTTGAACCACACTATTTTCTTGACATTAGAATGGTGTGCTTACAGAAAACCTGACTCATCCCACATTTGACAGCTTTTTTGCAATGCTATACAAAATGAGTTTGAAAAACCTGATATATTACAAGTCTATTCAATAACATTTGCTTCCATGAGGCTTTTATATATAATCTCTGAATTTTTAACTTCATGCCCATAGTCTTGTACCAAAAAATATAATTATAAACCAGATTTGACTCATTAGTTCTTCTGACTCATTCCTATTTGAAATAAATAAATAAATGCCAACAGTCCAGTGTCATAAAATTGCATTAATAACTGTCCCCGTTGGCTAAGCTTTGCATTTTAAAAATTTCACTCCCATTCCTTGAGAAACTGTCGCTTAGCAAGTTATTTTTGCTTCTTTATATTGTTGGTTGAAATGGGGTTTCTACCCAAATTAAATCTTACTAGGAAACAATAACATTATTCCTAGTGAGAAAACTATGGTGTCCTGGTAGGAAAGGTTTGCTTTATTTTCTTACTTCACACAGAATAGTTTTCTAGTGAAAACATAAAGGTGGACTGAAGGTAGAAATAATTTTTAACACTAAAATATTTGTCTAAATTATAAAAGACAGACAGTAATACCTACAAATTTATACATTTAAAACTAAGGATATATGCTTACCATAAATTAGCTCTTTATTTGACTATAAAACAATGCAGCAATTATACACAAGGTCCATAGAATGTAAAGTAGCAGAACACTGTATAGCTTTCATATCAATGAAATATATGGAGAAACAATTATGCCGTGAAGATGTAATAATCCTGATCCCCCTTCCCACTGGCCGTATAGTGAGGCTGTGCAGACATTCTGATTCTCAGTGTCTCTGAGAAGGACCAATAATAAATTCTACCTTCCTTTATGAGGTATAGTTGGAAAGACAAAGATACACTGTCATTCAAGATTATACATAAGTCATTTCTAAAAGTACGTCATCCTGCAGAAGACATTTGTGGAACTCTGTAGTACTGGTTCACAAATATTCCAATTCTTTCCTCTCAGGCACACAGTAAGAATGTACTTTCCTTCCCCTTTTGAATTAGAAGTAGCCATGTGGCCTGTGTTAAGAGTCAGCGTGTCCCTTCCCTGCCTCATGAATCAATCTGGTACCTCCGTTAGTCTAGGCTCCAAGTAACTTTAACATGCAAGCAGTCCTTGCTCTATAGTACAAGTGAGATGTAAACCTTTGGTGAGACAAACCAATAAAATGTGGGGATGGTTCATTACTTCACCATAACCTAAAGTATTTTGACTCACAAAATATAGAAATTCCCAAAAGTCAAAATTATAAAGGTTATGCCCACAGGACTAGAAGTAAATATGAAATCCTTCTTGCCATAATTTGCCTTTTAGACATAAACCATGATGACATTTAATCTCAATTATACTCCAATATTGAGATCTACAATTCTAAGCACCAATATCAGCACCCTTTTTCTGTTATCCACTCATTTTCATAAAAGGAAAACTAAATTAAATGGCAAATTAACTGCACAAATATTTTTACATA